CTATGAACTTTTTGGTAGAGCCTGTCATCAAGTAGGTGCTTAATGATTATCTGCAAGAGGTTTATAGGAAAAAACACCCAGTAGGTGTGATGTTGAATCAGTAAAATCGCATATCAGTTGAAGAAAATAATATAAACTTGAATAAAAAATCAACAATAGTAATTAAAACATGAATTTAATTCAAAAATCAAACATTTCTTTAAATTATGTCTGAATTATATGTAATTTCTTAATATTCAATAAGCTGGTGATGTTTCAATGACAAGATGTCATCTCACACTTTGACAGTATTTTGTTTTCAACATTTCATAGCTATTGGTTGCTAAAATTTTGTTGATTGGAACTTGAAGCTCATTCGTTGTATTTGACGGACTGTTACCCTATAGGTGGAGAATAACGGACTGTTGATTTGACAACCTTGGTGAAACCCACCCTTAATTTACCTGTTGTACATGTTCGTAAAATGCTTTTTTCTCAGAGTATTTAAATTGCGCAGAACTCAATTCTTTATGAACTGATGAATTATATTATATCAATGACATTAGAAGTGTTACACCCCGAAAAAATTATTTCTTCAACTTGTTTTCTGGCAACATAATGAATATAATTAAATCATGCTGTGGCAACAATGTCAACGTTTTATCTGATTAGTACATATATTTTTTGTTATTACCCTTTACATTTACTAGTGTTGAGCTTAACCAAATGCCTCGAGTTCGAGGACATCCAAATTATCGCCAAGTTAGCGACCTTGACAGTGGAGAAGAATTGCCTAACGAGATGGTTTGCGCTATCGCGAAATTGGCCGCCGTGTTAATTGTACTGCAATAACGGTAATGCATGTGTGTCGTGTGTGGATAGAAGAAGGTAGAGTCAGATCGCTGATCAATGGATTGGAGAAGAAAGTAGACCTGTTACTATGCGTACAATCTATCGCCGTATTCGAGCCTTTGTACTTTTTTCATACCGTCCACGGTTAGTGCTACATCTGATTGCGGACCACTGTCGTCAACGTTTGAACTGGAGCAGAGAACGGCAACATTGGGAGGCAGAATGGCATAATGTCATCTTAGCGACGAATTGCTATTGTGGTTAGCATGATGATCGTAGAAGGGTAAGACTCCGCGGTGGAGAACGGCGTGATATTAGAGTTGCTTTTGAGAGGCATGTATACTTTATCTGAAGTCACTTGAAATAGCATAAAAACCTTTGGTCGGCGCGTCCTTTGTAATTTCATGACGTATCATAGGCGTGCGGTCATTTATTTAGAACGATAATAATAATGTTTTTGTATCACAATAAATGGATTTTACTATCTCCTTATTTTTTTGATTTGGGATAAAAAATACTTATATTGGGAGTTTAATGTATGTTGACTGAAAGTTAAGAAATGGAAAAATTACAGAATTCCAACGTTTGACATAGGCAAATATTTACATAGCAGGTAGGTATATAAAAAGGTATATAAAGACTTACATTATAGGTATTCATATATCATCCTCGCCTTCGGAGCTGTCGCTAGAGTCATCTTGTAGAGGAATTACAACGGGATTTACAGGACGCAAAACACAATATTCATTTTCTTTTTCAATAATATGCCTAGAACACTGCTTCCATAGGTCTGTGGCAGCAATATGAGATACTGGGTCTCTTATTGTGGCCAATAGCGATTCACTTAATTGAGGGGTCTGATTATGTTTTCTTACTTTTTTTTAAAGCAGCCCAGACCAACTCAATCGGGTTAAAAATGCAGTAATAGGGAGGTAGACGTAATACTTCATGGCCATTTTGCTGAAGCAGATTGTCAACAACATACTCTTTTTCAAATTTTTGTCTTTTAATAAGATCCAATAATATGGCTTTGGTTGATTTTTGTGGTATTTCCATTCCCTTATCCTTCATAAAATCAATAACGTCTTGTTTTTTTGTGCCTGTATTCGGAATTTTGTTTTTCTGTCGGGAATGGTATGGCGCATTGTCCATAATAATCACTGAATTTGGGGAAATGTTTGGTATTAACTGCTGCTCTATCCACTTTTCAAATAAGTCGGAGGTCATGTCCTCATGATAGTCGGCACATGATTCTTTGATATTTTTGGCAGATAACAGCAAGGCATTAGGTATAAATCCATTTTCACTGCCAGTATGGAGAATAATGATTCGTTTTCCACGGTTGCATGGTGCATTTAAAATGCTGTCGTCAACCCAGCCGTACTGCACAACATCATGGGTATCATACCACGTTTCATCCAGGTAAATCAGATTTCTTTTCTGCTCTCTATAGATTTTAACTTTGTGCAAAAATTCTTGGCGCAATTCAACGATTCGAGACGACTCCATAATCACCATTCTTTTATCTAATTTTTTGTATTGAAAACCACACAGTTTTACAATACAATGCAGTGAGTCTAAGCATTTGTAATTATAAAAATCTTCAGGATAATCTTTTAATTTATCCCGTATCATTTCCAACGTGGGCACCAAATTTTCTTTATAAAATCCGTATATTATACGACGAATATCTTCCTGAAAACCCACGTCTATTCTTTTTAATTTTTGCCCTATGCGCATTCTGTGGAAGGAATGGTTGACTACATCTCCCCTTTTTATAACCCGATAAATGGTAGACCGACTGATTTTTGTCAGGATACAAGTTCTGTTTAAAATTTGATTTTGCGAGGAATCTGGATTTTTGTTTTTCAGACAATCATTCATATTTAGGATTACTCTTTGGGTCTGTTCCTCTAAATCTTTATGAAAGAATTCTGCCTGCACAGGTTCATCAACCATCTCCTCGTGGCTTGGAGCATTTTCCCAAGGTCTCCAAAGAGCCATATTTAGGACACACAAGAACAATCAACACAACAATTAAATCAACATGTAAACTGAGTATTCAAAAGTCAAAAACACACAAACTAATAAAATCTATGAAAAAACACGGACAGACTAAAGAAAACACGTTTATTCACCGCTACACGGCACTGGCTAAACTGTTTTAATTTTCAGTAGCCACCTGCACTTGTTCGGAGCTCTGAAATACACGCTTTCTCATTGGCTATGTCCACGCATAGGCGTGCTTTACTCCACGTGGACCGGTGAAACTGTCTTTGATCTTATACGGGGAATATTTGCTGCGAAATTTGGCGATTTTTGCGGCAACAGAGCGTGTTAAATATAGATATATAAAACGCACCCGGTATTTCACAGTGTTTCAAGTGACTTCAGATAAAGTATACACAATATGACTGCTGCGCGTTATGTTGATGATGTCCTACAAACCTCTTTACTGCCGTGTCTAGAGGGCCGTCCACACGCCCTTTTACAGTAGGACAACGCACGTCTCCATATTGCTCGTCGTACTACGGACTTTCTTCAAGAAGCAGGCGTTGATGTATTACCGTGGCCACCCCATTCACCGGATTTAAATCCAATCGAACATAATGTGGGATATGATGGGGAGGAGACTAGCCAGTTTGCACCATCTGCCACAGGCTCTACCACAGCTAATCCACGAAGTTCAAGTTGCTTGGAATGAGGTGCCACAACCAGACATCGATTTTGTCGATGCCTAGGCGTATACATGACTTTATTCAGCTTTCTTATTTCTTGTCAATAAAATTTCGTGAGAATGTTATCGTTTGAATTTGGCTAAAAAATCAAGTTGTAGAAATTACTTTTTCTGGGTGTAATGTATACATCAATTAGACAAATTGAAATGGCTAGATGTGGAAAATCTTAACAAGCATCTTGTAATGATATTCATTTATAAAGTAAAAAATAATATATATACGGGGTGTCCGCAAAGTTGGGGTTTTCCTTTTCAGAAACAACTACCCTTGAAATAACAAAGGTAATGTGTAGTGAAACGAGGGCGACCAAGTAAAAAAAAATAAAGGAAAAAGTACTCACTCTCCAGTTGACGAGAAGGGCTAAGTACGTCTCTGCCCGAAATCATACCGCTCCAACAGAAAATGAAATCAGCTGAAGCGCTACCGAGCAGACGCAGAAACCACATTGATTGTCTTACACTTAATGGCACATCTTCTAACAAGGAAGGCAAAATGTTGCGTGAAAAGTCTAGGTATTGCATCCCGTCCAATCGATTTGGGAGAATAAATGGTCCAATGAGCATACCTTTCACAATGCCAGCCCAAACATTCACCGAAAATGTTTGTTGAAAATGTGCCCGATGGACAGCGTGAGGATTTTCTACTGACCAAACATGAGTGTTGCGAAAGTTATTCACCCATTACGCGTGAACGTAGATTCGTCTGTCACCAATATGCACTTCAAAAAGTCCGGATTATTGTCATGTTGATGCAACAACCACTCACAAAACCGCACTCTTGCTGGAAAATCGTCAGGTTGAAGGGCTTGTACACGTTGGACGTGAAATGGATACAGCCCTCTCTTCACGCAGCGTTTGCCACACTTTAGTTTTTGATACTTGCACTTCTCTAGCCACGTCTCTAGTGCTTGTTGAGCGATTCTCGTCTACGCGATTACCTCTACATGCGTGACCGTAACCGGCGGTTGAAGGTTGCATACTAACCTAGCACACTGACCCCGACCCAGTTCTGCCGTCGGGTTGAGACCTTGTACCTGTCGGGGATATCGCGGCGGGTCGCGGCTACAGGACGGTATTCAGATATTTTTGATGTTGCAGAGCCCTTTATCTCGGTTCCCTTAAGACATTGGTGTATATGGTATCAGAAAAATTGCTTATCTTTTCAAGATCCCTGTATTTCCTACAAATCCATATTCCATCATGAGTTAGTTGGAAATAATAAATTGAATACAGAGATAAAAGACCTGACTACTTTTAAGTCAGGAATCACTACAATTATAGCATGCCTAGCATGTGCATCATATGCCTTGAATATACTAATTTTAAATTGTTTATCATTATTCTGTTTATGTAGCTAAACGTGCTAAATAAATCTCTCTACTACTAGTGTTGCTAATGTCTAAAAATATACCGTTGAAGAAAATGATCTAAAACATTGTTATATATTTTATTATCGTCTGATTAAAACAAAAAATTGACATCAAAAAGTTGTTTTTCTTCCTTCCACCTCATGCTAACTCCCCACTCCAGATTGAAACTGATCAACTCCTCAGGCTTTGGAAGGAGATTGTATTGATGTATAGACTTGGAATCCCTGGATTGGAGCAAGATGTCCAGTTTCTTCAGTGCTTCCATGCAGGGTTTCGGTACACTGCCACGCACATAGATACCACCGATTGCCAAGATATCGTGTAAAGGGATTTTCAAGATGATTGGGTAGATTCCGGTGAAGATGAAGTCTTGGTAGAGGCGTTTCTCGAAAGCGTGCTCGTAGTTGCAAAAAATTTTTGCTACCTAAAGCGATGACATGACAGCTTTTACAAGATTGCACAGAAGCTTATTGAGCGCCACCATCTCCATAACACGTTTTTTGGATCCATGAAAGAGAACTTTCACAAAACTATGATCTATGATCTAGATCAGTGATCGCCAACCCTTCGATGGCGAGCTACCGGTAGCTCGTAAAGGCAATTCTGGTGGCTTACAACATATTTTAAAAAAGTGTATGCTTCTGTAAATTTTGTAAATTCTCATAATAAACACAAGCAGCGGCAACACTGTAGTGAGCGATCTGTTCGAGAACGATCTCGATTACTTTGAACGGAGTAAATATGCAAAGCCCGATGATAGTAATATCGAGAGACACTATAAAACTGTTCATTCGAATTTTGAAAAATCCTTCCCATTACGTTCTGCAACCAGAACGGAAAAATTGAAGCAATTAAAAAATCAGTTAATTAGACAACAGCCAATATTTTTAAAAGCAATCGACAAAAGTAAGGATGCAACTGAAACATCATACCGGGTGTCCCAGATAATTACAGAAAAGAAGAAACCTTATGTATGAATGATAGAATGATAGAACAGGCGTTTTTAGAAGCTGCAGATTCATTATTTGAAAACTATGCCACTTTCTGCTAATACAGTGATGAGACGAGTAGAAGTAATGAGTAATGATATAGTTTTACAGTTAAGAAATGACTTCCACAGATGTCGTTGACCCCTCGCAGATGGCCGTGTTAGTCAGGATGGTTTTTACTGATTTTACGATTAAAGAAGATCTTTTGAAGTTAATTCCACTAAAAGGACAGACTACTGGGCAGGACTTGTTTTCTTCTTTTAAAAGTATTTTTTCTTCTGAGAAAATTCCAATATCGAACATTTTCTAAGACTAAACTTTATGAAATTGGTAGTAAAAATCGCGAACAAGGCTAGAGCTCAAGCGTTACAAAGAAGACTATTCAAAACCTTGGCCGATGAAATTGACTGTTAATACGGAGAACTACTTCTTCACCCTGAACGTGATGAACCGATTGCGGAACTGGAAAATTCAATCTGGTTTAGAGATGTTGGTTTTCTTGTGGATATTACAGAAAAATTAAATGAATTTAATTTGCAGCTTCAGTGGAGTGACCAAGTACTAGCGAAAATGACTTCTGATATAAAAGCGTCCATCAAAAAGCTTAAGTCTTGGGAACAAAACTGAATCGATGGCGATACCAGGTATTTTTCTGTTCTTTCAGAAAAGATATCCCAAAGTCCATTAGAACCATAGGACAGTAAATATCATGTAAAAGTCATCTCTAACTTAAAGAATAACTTCAGAAATCGTTTCAAGGATTTCAACGAAATTGCTATAGTGGCAAAATTGTTGTTTCACCCTTCATGAAAATTGATATCCAACAGTTTGCAATTTCTGTTGCGCAAAATTTTAGCGAAGTCATCGCTGCGGCAGAAATGGGAGTGATTGCGTTTCAAAATGATTTAGCTTTAAAAACATTGGTCTCAAATACAGAAGTAGTAAGTAAAGATATATATATATATATATATATATATATATTGAGACGTGGTCATTGTCGTCTAAACCAGTTAAGTGAAAAATTAAAGCTTCCGCCTTTTGTTGGGTACTTCGACAAAATTTAAGCAAAGAGGACTCTTTATACTTTTTTAATTCTCTGTAGCTTTCAATGGACTTTGCCATCATCATCAGGAGCTGCAATTACAATGATAACAGTAGCAACAATAGTGTAAAATGAATTTAAATTGACTCAACTTACAGTAGTATGTGAGGATGTTGCTAATTGTTGTTTACGTATAGGATGAGGGAAACGTCCAGTAACATGGTGAGAGCTGGATAGATGGTACAATGGTCAAAATTATATAAAATATAATAAGAACAAGTTAAAAATTATTTAAAAACATTAAAGCATTACATCGTGAAGCCACTTGATGATTGCACAAAATGGTGGTGATGGAATAATGAGTGAGATGAAACCTTTGACAGAAGGCCGAAGGTTGTCAATGTCTGTGTAGAAAGATGGAACGAATTGTGGGCGTGTGTCACTTCAGATGATGTGATTTTCAGAATGTTATGTAAGAAATTGTTAAACCGACCAGAGGCAGTTGAATAACACAAGTATCAAAGTTCTTGATAAAGAAAAACACCTTTCCAAACGTTTATTCCTGGAAATGTCCCACATTTTCATGAACAACAACTATATCAACAAAAAGACAGATGTTAAACAACTGAGTGTCATTTACTCATATTTGCTAAACTGCGAAAAATTGGAGAACTTACATATCTCCCCAAATTTTGACTCTTCACAACCATAAATAGAATCTGTATCTTGGTCGATTCCACCAGTAAATTGCATTGCATTGTTGGCACACGCCCACAATTCGTTCCATCTTTCTACACAGACATTGACAACCTTCGGCCTTCTGTCAAAGGTTTCATCTCACTCATTATTCCATGACCACCATTTTGTGCAATCATCAAGTGGCTTCACGATGTAATGCTTTAATGTTTTTAAATAATTTTTAATCTGTTTTTAACTTGTTCTTGTTATATTTTATATAATTTTGACCATTGTACCATCTATCCAGCTCTCACCATGTTACTGGACGTTTCTCCCATCCTATACGTAAACAACAATTAGCAACATCCTCACATACTACTGTAAGTTGAGTCAATTTAAATTCATTTTACACTATTGTTGCTACTGTTATCATTGTAATTGCAGCTCCTGAAGATGATGGCAAAGTCCATTGAAAGCTAGAGAGAATTAAAAAAGTATAAAGAGTCATCTTTGCTTAAATTTTGTCGAAGTACCCAACAAAAGGCGGAAGCTTTAATTTTTCACCTATATATATATATATATATAGTTTTATGGCGTGTTGCCTTGAAAGTGAAAGCGTTATTTAGTTCAACCTATTTGTGTGAATGAAATATAATAAATAATATAAATATAGATATTTAAATGATTTATAGTTATAAATTCTACAATTAAATCTTTAGAATAAAACCCTGACAAAAAAATTAAGCCTCACAATGAAAAATTACAAATATTAGAAAAACGCAAGACTTTTAATTCTTAGTGATCTCGAGTATAAATTTAAATTTTCTAGAATACAATTAAAATTTAATTTTTTTTGTAATAAAATCGTTAATTTTAGAAAAAATTAATTTTTAGTAGCATATACAGTAAACAAAGCTAACAAATCTTGTCATCTTATTAAGTACCATTAACTTCCAACTCAAGCCCCACAAAATTCAATCCAATATTAAATTGAATAAAAAAATCCGATTTTTAAAAATATCAATTTGCTAAAAAACCCAAAATTTAAATTTCAAAAAATTTTAAATTTGAATTTTTCTATAAAATAATTGTATTCAAATGGCGGCATCAAATTATATTCCCAACATTCAGAAAATTGTCAGTGAGTCTGAGTGTCAGGCTTCTCATGGAACACGCATTTTTTAATTGGACATGTTTTTGTTCAAAATAGAGCGTTACTTTTTTATTTTTAGTTACCTTTATTAAATCGTATGTGATATGCCATTGTAGCAGATGAAAAATGTTTTTTTTTTCAAACACCTACGACCTGGTAGGAGTGGATGTAGTTATGTAGTATCTATTAGTTATTAGTTTATTTAAGTTTATTAATATGAATTAGTAAAAGTAAAATAAACACATGTATGTCACAAAGAACTGTGTATAAATTTAATATAAGTTGGCTTGCATTGCTTACGACTAGATAGCTCACTATTTATTCCAAAATTATCAAAGTGGCTCAACACACTGAAAAGGTTGGCGATCATCGATCTAGAACATTGATTCTCAAAGTGGTCTATATCGACCCCTAGGGGTCTATGACAACCTGCAAGGGTTCTACGTCAGCGAAAAAAAATTTGGGGGTCCATGAAATGAATATGGGGGTCCACGATAGTGGATCTCAACACATACACTCATAGTACCTATTTACTTACATCATACTACCTTATAATATCAAAACATATACATTATTTATAAAGGTACCTATGAAGTAAAAATTTATTATATATGTTTATAAAATTGTGTAAGTTGTAGGATGTTGGTATTCGCTTTGTGGTCGCAATACATTTTGAACTTGTAAAAACCTGAGAGTCGCAGTCTCAGAGCTTCGCTACCTTGCACTGACTTGTTCAATTCGTCACTCTATAAATACGAATGTGGGACAAATACGTTTATTCGTTTCCTGAATCTTGAAAAGGAAAGTGCTAAGAAAATATTTTAAAAAATATAAACCGATAGTATATCACACAAATTATAGTGAGTCAGTGTTATTTTGTTTGAGAGTGCTGGAGAAAAGTAAGTACATTATTTTTAATTAAATTTTAGTTTTGTACTCGTAGTTAGCAAAGATAGATAAATTACGCCAATCATGACTTTAGTTATTAGTAGTTAAATATTCAATCATGCAAAATTACACGAGTACTCCTCAATAGTTTCTTTTTGAATTATGGAATGTTTTCGGAAAAATCAAAAAATATTTTTAATATACAGCTGCTGGATTTTCTGTCTTATTTAAATAATTTAATTTTGCCCACAGATGACTGATGCCATGTCCGAATCTAAAAAGAAATGTAGACAGTACTGTGTTGATTATTTGAAATTTGGCTTCATTCCATCATTGCCGGACAAACAATCGCCTATATGCCTTTTATGCAACAAAGTTTTGGGCAATGACGCTATGAAACCATCTAAACTGCAAGATCATCTGATAAGATGCCACCCTGATAAAACAGAGAAAGATTTGAAATACTTTCAAACACTCAAAGATAAATTTCAGAAGAGACCTACACTGGACAGAATGTTCGCTTCGACGTCACAAAGAAATGATGATGGTTTGCGGGCGTCTTACAATATCTCGTTACTTATAGCAAAATCCGGAAAACCGCATACTATCGGAGAGAAGTTAATTTTGCCAGCCGTTGAAGAGGTTTTAAAAACTGTTTTACACAAACCTGCATCTGATATCATTAAAAGCATTCCCTTAAGCAACAATACTGTTGAAAGACGTATTGATTAAATGAGTTCTGATATTGAAAGCTTCTTATGTAATTATTTGCAGCATTATTATTGGCATATGTTCGTTTTATTATGAATCAAGAAATGTACGAAGAACTGCTCTTCGCAAGAACTTTGATAACCGACACTAAAGGTGAATCAATACTTCATGTTTTGAAGGATTACTTCATTGAAAAAGCAATTCCTTTATCAAATATAATATCAGTAGCTACAGATGGAGCACCTGTCATGGTTGGACGTTATCGTGGATTTATAAGCTATTTAAAACAAAATGTGTCAGGGGTGTTAGCAATACATTGCGTCATCCATCGACAACATGTAGTTGCTAAAAATTTGAGTGTTAAATTGCATGAATCACTTCATTTAGTCATTGATGCAGTAAACCGAATCCGAAGCATCGCCTATTTGACAGATTCGTTTACAAAATTTAATATGTTTAATCTGCAATTACAAGGCGACAGTTTAAATTTGATTAAAACCAATTCCATCTTATTTTCTTGCCAGAGTTAAACTAATGAAGCAAAATATTGGACGGGGCGAATTTTCTCAGTTCCCCAATTTGTCACAGACAAGCTGCCAGGAAGACGACGTTTCAACTTACGTTCAACATTTAAATGCCCTCTATTCAGATTTTGAATCTGGGTTTGAGGATATTTTGACTATGGTAATACCACCGTGGATAATTAATCCATATGGTGACATAGAAGAAACGAATGTCATAATACAAGAGGAACTGACTGAACTAAGTACAAACGAAGAACTTAAGGTTCAGTTTAAAAATGGATATCAGCAATTCTGGTTGCAAAAAACATACCCGTTACTCATCCCGTATTATGGAATATAGCGAGGAAATTTTTAATTTCCTTTCCATCGTCATACCTAGTGGAAAGGGGGTTCAGCGCTGTGACCAATCTCCTAACGAAAAAAAGAAACAGACTGGACATCATTAGCCGAGGAGATTTAAGATTAACCCTTACAAAATTGACGCCAAATGTTGATAATTTATTATTAAAGCATCAGGTTCATCCTTCTCACTAAAAATATTGACTTATTGCTTAGATTATTTTATTTATAGTTTATTTTATGTTTATTGGTGTCTGACCAATAAATGCCCGAATTGGGAATAAGTGCCCGCATTGATTTTTTTAAAGAACCCCCCTTTATAGAAAATATTTTTTTTTAAATTATTCTGAAAATTCAAGGATAGGTACACACTAAAATTCGTTAATTTTTTGCCTATTTTTAGATAACTTAAACGTATAAGAAGCGGAATTTAATCAAATTATCAGTAAAATTATTATAGAACATACGTTTATGTTATAATTAATAAACGAACTCGCTTATTGTACTATTTTAAGTAAAAAACTTTTTTTTTTATTATTTTTCACTTTTTTTTATTTTATCCCTCTTATTTTTTTTTTCAATGCGGGCACTTATTTCCAATGCGGGCACTTATTGGTCAGACACCTATTTATTTAATGTTACGTATATTTTACATAACAGATACAAAATTTTATTTTGAGTAGTTTTAATTTAAATTCAATTAATAAATGTATAAATTAACATGTGTTTTTACTTTAAGTTTTTAACCCTAAACTTCACTACAGTTAGAAATTTACAGGAAATCAATATCAGGTAAGTAGGGGGTCTACCCAACACAGAAAAACATGGCAAGCGGTCTACGACACAAAAAAGTTTGGGGAACTCTGATCTAGAAGAAGCTCGTATTCTGGATTAATCGGATGCGTAGATTCCCAATTCGATGTCAATTTGGTGCCAGCGACTTGGCGTAAAATTCATTGGCTTTAATTTTAACAAACACCAAACAGTATCAGGTTGCCTTTGGAAACAAAAGTTTGTTTACTTACTCTGCTGTCAGTTGACATTTATTTATTCCGAAGTTTTCGCTTTAGATGTCGCAATATTCAACGAAGATATGATTACCTTCAAATTGCACTTATCCACAAGATGAAAAACTTCAACGAAAAAACCGTTCATCAGGCCCTCGACGAACATCAAATAGTTGTTCCCGTTATCGATCAGGAACCCAGTGAGAACCTCGCTAAGCTCCATATCAATATTCTGCTCGCTCTTCTTCTTAGCTTCGTGCAATATCAACTTATTCCTCGTGTATATTTCAACGAAAACATCTTTGGCCAATTGCTCGTCATAAATGACCATCAGCATTCGCTTGAAAAGGTTGGGTTGGTTATGTATCACCAAGCATGGCGTCTGAGGTGCTAGGATGTATGCTTCGATGTGCATGGTGGTACCTTGTTCCAGGTACACTGACTCTGGAACGAGGCTTTTGATTTTTTTCCCGCCAGGAGGGAAGTGAATCTCGGGCACTGTCATTACGTCGCGGTAGACCATCATGTCGAAATAACCTATGGAAAATCGCAGCTTTTACGATATCGTTATCTAAACGTGAAATTAATATTAGATGTGCTGCCAATGTACACTGAAAACCTAATTTGACTGACGAGTTAATACTAAATAAATCAACAAACAAACAAATCAAAGCAATCATAGAGCTACATGCAAGCCTTTATTTGTAATTGTAAAAGGATGTATCATTCTCCATTTTTTTAAAATAAATCTAAATTCGGAACATTGGATATAAGTTATACTTTATCTGAAGTCACTTGAAATAGCATAAAAACCTTTGGTCGGCGCGTCCTTTGTAATTTCATGACGTATCATAGGCGCGCGGTCATTTATTTAGAACGATAATAATAATGTTTTTATATCACAATAAATCGATTTTACTATCTTCTTATTTTTTTGATTTGGGATAAAAAATACTTATATTGGGAGTTTAATTTATGTTGACTGAAAGTTAAGAAATGGAAAAATTACAGAATTCCAATGTTTGACATAGGCAAATATTTACATAGCAGGTAGGTATATAAAAAGGTATATAAAGACTTACATTATAGGTATTTATATATCATCCTCGCCTTCGGAGCTGTCGCTAGAGTCATCTTGTAGAGGAATTACAACGGGATTTACAGGAGGTAAAACACAATATTCATTTTCTTTTTCAATAATATGCCTAGAACACTGCTTCCATAGGTCTGTGGCAGCAATATGAGATACTGCATCTCTTATTGTGGCCAATAGCGATTCACTTAATTGAAGGGTCTGATTATGTTTTCTTACTTTTTTTTAAAGCAGCCCAGACCAACTCAATCGGGTTAAAAATGCAGTAATAGGGAGGTAGACGTAATACTTCATGGCCATTTTGCTGAAGCAGATTGTCAACAACATACTCTTTTTCAAATTTTTGTCTTTTAATAAGATCCAATAATATGGCTTTGGTTGATTTTTGTGGTATTTCCATTCCCTTATCCTTCATAAAATCAATAATGTCTTGTTTTTTTGTGCCTGTATTCGGAATTTTGTTTTTCTGTCAATGGTATGGCGCATTGTCCATAAATAATCACTGAATTTGAGGAAATGTTTGGTATTAACTGCTGCTCTATCCACTTTTCAAATAAGTCGGAGGTCATGTCCTCATGATAGTCGGCACATGATTCTTTGATATTTTTGGCAGATAACAGCAAGGCATTAGGTATAAATCCATTTTCACTGCCAGCATGGAGAATAATGATTCGTTTTCCACGGTTGCATGGTGCATTTAAAATGCACTTGTTGCTGTCGTCAACCCAGCCGTACTGCACAACATCATGGGTATCATACCACGTTTCATCCAGGTAAATCAGATTTCTTTTCTGCTCTCTATAGATTTTAACTTTGTGCAAAAATTCTTGGCGCAATTCCACGATTCGAGACGACTCCATAATCACCATTCTTTTATCTAATTTTTTGTATTGAAAACCACACAGTTTTACAATACAGTGCAGTGAGTCTAAGCATTTGTAATTATAAAAATCTTCAGGATAATCTTTTAATTTATCCCGTATCATTTCCAACGTGGGCACCAAATTTTCTTTATAAAATCCGTATATTATACGACGAATATCTTCCTGAAAACCCACGTCTATTCTTTTTAATTTTTGCCCTATGCGCTTTCTGGGGAAGGAATGGTTGACTACATCTCCCCTTTTTATAACCCGATAAATGGTAGAAAGACTGATTTTTGTCAGGATACAAATTCTGTTTAAAATTTGATTTTGCGAGGAATCTGGATTTTCGTTTTTCAGACAATCATACATATTTAGGATTACTCTTTGGGTCTGTTCCTCTAAATCATTATGAAAGAATTCTGCCTGCACAGGTTCATCAACCATCTCCTCGTGGCTTGGAGCATTTTCCCAAGGTCTCCAAAGAGCCATATTTAGGACACACAAGAACAATCAACACAACAATTAAATCAACAAGTCAACTGAGTATTCAAAAGTCAAAAACACACAAACTAATAAAATCTATGAAAAAACACGGACAGACTAAAGAAAACACGTTTATTCACCGCTACACGGCACTGGCTAAACTGTTTCAATTTCCAGTAGCCACCTGCACTTGTTCGGAGCTCTGAAATACACGCTTTCTCATTGGCTATGTCCACGCATAGGCGTGCTTTACTCCACGTGGACCGGTGAAACTGCCTTTGATCTTATACGGCGGATATTTGCTGCGAAATTTGGCGATTTTTGCAGCAACAGAGCGTGTTAAATATAGATATATAAAACGCACCCGGTATTTCACAGTATTTCAAGTGACTTCAGATAAAGCATACACTGAAAACCTAATTTGACTGACGAGTTAATACTAAATAAATCAACAAACAAACAAATCAAAGCAATCATAGAGCCAGATGCAAACCTTTATTTGTAATTGTAAAAGGATGTATCATTCTCCATTTTTTTAAAATAAATCTAAATTCGAAACATTGGATATAGGTTACAGTATTAAAGGAAAACAAGATATTGAATAAGCACTACCTAAATCAACACTTGTGAAAGACTCAACAATTTATAATGGTCGATAATTTGACATGTTTCTCCATGATGCTATCAAAAGAATTAACAATTTAAAGTTATTCCAATGTGAAATTAAAAATTTATCTAAACCATTTTATACGAGGGGTGTCTTTTAAGTTTTGCATATGGAAATAAAACAACACGGTGGGTAGTTTTAAATGACTTTATTGTTTTTCGAAGTATTCTCCTCGAAGATGAATACACATCTGCATGCGATCGAACCAATTTTCGAAGCACTTATTCCACTACTTTGCTGGCAGATCCAAAACGGGATTTTTGAATGCGTCAACTGCTTCTTCTGGTGACTGGAACCTTTGACCACGTAGTCTGTTTTTAATTTTCGGGAAAGTAAAGAAATCGTCCACGTTTGAATTCTTCATAAAAACGGGAAATTGTCGACTGATGTGGCGCTTCGTTGCCGAAAACAGACAGTAACTCAGCAAGGCTTTCTTGTTGCAATAATTGTCTCTGAAAGTTGTAATAAATTATGGCGCAAAAATGTTCTCGGTTGAGTTCCATTTTTCTTATAAATTCACAGTAGTGAGAACACTGCACGTATTGTTGTGAAACTTTGAATTCAAGTTTACTAAAGAGTGAGGTTAAGATTCAGCACTGACGTTCAATCCGCGCGGCCTACTATGTTTCTATATGCAAAACTTAAAAGACATCCCTCGTATCATGTCTGAGTTCTACAGTTCACTTACTTAAGATGTTTAGTTCTAAGTTAGCTTTGTCATTAAGAATGATTGTAATCCTCAGCATATCTGTCTATCTACTCAATAACATCATCACCAACCTTTGCCCTGTTGGAACAAAGTCAAATTCGGCTCGTGACATTGAGCTCGTTCCCTAAAGTTCCACACATTGTCTACCAAAGAACTGAGGTCATAGGAGGCAACTGCAAGCAGTACGTGAGTACTGGTCGTATCCTCAATTATGTCTTTGCGATTGAAAGTGGTTAACTTGATTTTGCTTATGTTGAAATCGGTCGGATCGGTGCCAAATAAATCATAGCTCGGTTGTTTGGGATGGACGGTTCTGATACCGTATATCTCTACGAGCAGCCTGAAAAATAGTTATTTATGTACCTAGTGTGTAGGGTGGCGGCTACGAGAAGTTAGAGTCTAAGCTACAGAGATAAAGATGCACGTTCATTGAGGCTACGCTACAGGATGGCAACATTTTTACCGAAGGGGCACCTCGGCTGCTATGAGGAGCTTAAATAAACTTTGTTAACTTGCTTTTGCAACTACCTAAGCTTTTAAAGAACTAGGAGATGCCTCCTCAAGTAGATTGTTTCACAATTTCGATGGTCTACACGTTATTTCCCTTAACGCGTCTCTTCACTTCCCGTCTTCTCAATGGGTGTGCATCTTAAGCGCTACAGGTACTTTACTGCCCTCGGGCATAAAGAGGACCATAAGCTGACTCCTGATTAGATTGTAGTTTGATTTGAGGAGCCTGATTGTCGGATCGAAGTGAATTGTACTAACCTACGAGTCTGCATAAACTCAATGACCTTGATTTTCGGTACTTTGTCGTTGAAGAATATGTGAGCTTCGTCAAAGAGGATGTATTCAGCAAGAGGTTTAATCGCAGATCGACAACAGGCTATCGAAGGAATGTCGTATTGTGCGTAAACTGAATGGACTTCCAACTTCTTCAGGAGATCTGCTGGTAGTTTTCTTAATTTTTTCAGTTTGATGACGAGCGGGTTCATGGACAACTTCTGCGTGCTTGCCACAAGAGTGAGAAAATTCAGAAGAGATAATTTGTAATTAAAATAAATAATACTGGTATTTCTTTGGTTTTATAGAAAATTGCGAAAATAAAATGCAACTCGGCATCAAAAAACTTTATGAATTTTTGCTACACCATAAGGAAATGCACTGCCAGCAGAAATGTGTTTCTTCACATTTATTCTTATTTACGTTTACAAAAATATACATGTCGATCTAGAAGAAGTTAAAGATAAAAAATGAGACTTAACAATAAACTGTTTCTTTTTAAGTTAAATTTGCAATCTTAAATACACTGGGGCTTGTCCTGACCCTCCTTAAGTCACACTTGCATCAATTTATGAATCACCCTGTACATTTATAGACTTTGCATAAATCTACCTGGTCATCAGCTGTTTCACAGACAATAAAACGAATACGTCATCCAAAACAAACGTACGAGTATCACTTTTATAGATCACTAGATCGGGATCTGTGAAAAATATTTCCCCAGGAACTTGGATAGTAGTAGAATCACCTCTAGTTGGTTGCTTTTCTGTCGTTTTGGATGACTTGCTAGATTTTGAGTTCTTATCAAGCTTTTTATTTTTTGATTTCTGCTCATTTTTCTCTTTCTTCCCTTTAGCACCAGCGGTTTTGATTTCTTTGACCTACAATAAGTAGGTAAGCTTTTTCCATACTGGTATGCTAATTTATCTTTGTCTTTATTTTATTCGTTAAAACCTTTACAATGATGACTGGCATTAAGATGACCGCTGGAACTAGAACAACTTGTAAACCTTATAATAAGAAATCGATGCTTTTTATCCACCCAGGTGGTATAAGGAAATAATTCTACGCTCGGAAATTATATTAACCATGACCTTCAAGGTATTGTAGAAGTCAACTTGGATGTTCCGTAATGAGGAATCGTGATTATGATCCCGGAGATGGTAAGCGGAAACTATTACGTTCTGACTATGACCTTGACCAAGAAACTCAAGGTGATTTAGACTGATTTCAACGTCAATGTTACATCCAGCATACAGTTATCCATCCTCTCCATCTGTGGGCTGTAAATTACGGTTAATTTTTGTTTTTTCCAACGATTGGGTCACAGAGGTACAGCTGCATTTAAAATTTCCTACTTGACTTTCAATTGACCTTGTTCATGAGCAAGGCGATTTTCGAACATAAGGTTTTGCCCTCCGTTCATCTATACGTACCATTCCTTATTATAAAATTTTCAATTTGACCTCTAAATGACCTTGGCACCTTGAAGGTCATGTCAAATGTCATTTTTTTACGCAAAATATTTCAGTTTGCATCGACACGGACAAAAAGTTACGGTTACATTCAAAATGCTCAACCCGACCTTTAAATGACCTTCATATTTTCTGTCAAGGTCGTGTTTGAACGCAAAATAATTCGCTTTCCAACGCTGCGGCCAAAAAGATACGGTTCTATTCAAAATGTTTAAATTGACCTCTAGATGACCTTGAAGGGTCCGGTTCGAAACATACGGTTTGAATTAAAATTTTTCAAGTTGACCCCCATATGACATTAAATGCCAAGTCACGCTTAAGGTCATTTTGAATGTAAAATATTTCGTTCTCTCTCGGTGCTGTCAGAAAGTTACGAAAATTTCAAAGTTGGCCTCGAAATGATCTTAAACGCTACTATCAAAGTCATGCTAAAGGTCATTTTTGAACGCCATATATTTTACATTCCATTGCTGTGGACAAAAAGATACTGTTCTATTCAAAATGTTCAAGTTGACCTCTAAGTGACTTTGAAGGGTCATTTTTGAACTCAAAATATTTCGCTTTCCATTGGTGCGGCCAAAAATATACGGTACTATACAAAATTTTCAAGTTGAGCTGTAAATATCCTTGAAAACTACTGACAAGGTCATTTTTGAACCAAAACTATTTCGCTTTCGATCGGTGTAGTTTTTGGTCAAAATTTTCAAGTCTACCGCCACATGACCTTGAAGGCTAGTGTCAAGGTGTTGATGAAGGTCATTTTTGCTAGGAAAAATATTTCTGGTTCTGGTTCTATTCAAAATGTTCATGTTGACCTCCATATGACCTTGAAGGCTAATGTCAAGGTCATGCTGAATGGTAATCTTTGAACGCAAAATATTTCGCTTCTCATCGGTGCATTACAGAAAATACGGATTTGTTCAAACATTTCAGTTTAACCTCTAAATGACCTTGAAGATCTTGAAGGGTCAAGGTCATGCTAATAGTCATTTTTGAACGCAAAATATTTCGCTTCCCATCGGTGCAGTGTAAAAATATGGGTTTGTTCAAAATTTTCAAGTTGAACTCTAAATGACCTTGTAAAGGTCACGCTAAAGATCATTCTGAACGCAAAATATTTTGCTTTCGATCGATGCGGTTCGAAACATACGGTTTATATTCAAATTTTTTTTTGACCCCCATATGGCCTTAAATGCCAAGTCACGCTAAAGGTCATTTTGAAAGTAAAATATTTCTTTCTCTCTCAGTGCTGTCAGGAAGTTACGAAAATTTCAAAGTTGGCCTCGAAATGATCTTAATCATATATTTTGCATTCCATTGCTGTGAACAAAAAGATACTGTTCTATTCAAAATGTTCAAGTTGACATCTAAGTGACTTTGAAGGCTACTGTCAGGGTCATTTTTAAGGTCATTTTTGAGCTCAAAATATTTCGCTTTCCATCGGTGCGGCCAAAAATATACGGTACTATACAAAACTTTCAAGTTGAGCTGTAAATATCCTTGAAAACTACTGACAAGGTCATTTTTGAACCAAAAATATTTCTGTTTCGATCGGTGTAATTTTTGGTCAAAATTTTCAAGTCTACCGCCACATGATCTTGAAGGCTAGTGTCAAGGTCTTGATGAAGGTCATTTTTGCTAGGAAAAATATTTCGTTTATCCTCGGTGCGCTCTAAAAGATACGGTTCTATTCAAAATGTTCATGTTGACCTCCATATGACCTTGAAGGCTAATGTCAAGCTCATGCTGAATGGTAATCTTTGAACGCAAAATATTTCGCTTCTCATCGGTGCATTAAAGAAAATACGGATTTGTTCAAACATTTCAGTCTGACCTCTAAATGACCTTGAAGGTCTTGAAGGGTTCAAGGCCATGCTAATAGTCATTTTTGAACGCAAAATATTTCGCTTCCCATCGGTGCAGTGTAAAAATATGGGTTTGTTCAAAATTTTCAAGTTGAACTCTAAATGACCTTGTAAAGGTCACGCTAAAGGTCATTTTGAATGCTTATTTTTTCGCTTTTCCCATCAGTAGTCAATAGGTAGGTTTAATCCAATACTTTCAAGTCGACCTGAAAATAGCCTTAAAGTCATTTTCAAGGTTATCATCAAGATCGTCGGTTGTACCGTCAAAACCATGCAAATTTCATCTTGATAATTTTTTGTTTGAGCAGTATTTTCAGAGACAGATCCAGTATAATTTATGTAATGGAATCAGACCTGCGGTTCCAATTGTCCAGTTGGTGGTAGCACGAACGCTTTACATTTCACTGTTTCTCCTTGGGCGTCCTTATCAATAATTTCGTAAAAATCTTCCCATCTATACGGTAGATTGAACCAAGATACAGTTTCGTTCTTCGGATAGTTCGCACAACTCAATATCAAGTTCCTTATGTACTCCTCCAGACTATCATAGTTTCGTTTCGCCATCAACGCTTCATCAGGGTGGATAATAAGTTGTAATTTTTCAAAAGTGTCGTTGTTCCGTACATCGTCGCGTCTGACCATGATTGTCATCTGCTCTATACCTTTTGGTACACTGTGGGTCAACCTGAATTGAACGATGTGGTTCCTGAATCTTTTTATGTCTTCCGCGGTGTTCAAGCATTCAATGTAGTGTTCGATGGTGATAGGAACCCACGCTTTTTCATTTTTAATCACTGTTCTAATCAATGAGCTTCCATCTCGAGTACTTATTGTTGCGACCGTTTTCCAACACACCACATCGAAATCGTACTTGATCCTACCTAGTGATGGTACCAGTAATTAAAGGAAAAATGATTGATAGGAATAGATCTAATAGCTCAAAATATAACTTAATATTATAGCTTTCCTGCATCCAAAAACAGACGGCCAACTATGGACAGCTGACTGTTATTTAGCTATTAGGCTAAGTATTACCAGATTTAACAGAAATACAGACGGATTCTAGTAATAGATGGCACTTTATGCTGTCGGATATGGATAGATCTTATACTCTGGATAGATGATACCTCAAACGCTTTTATTAAAACACAGTAAAGAAAACACAAGAAAAGTCTTTAGATGAAAATACGATAAATCTTACAATTAATCATGAAAAAATTGAGTTAATCGAATTACTTAAATATTTGGGCATATATGTAGAAGGTAAAATAAAAATTAAAGGACACTATGAATATATTATTTCAAAAATATACAAAAAGATAAAATACTTTTAAAGAATTTCACATAGACTGTATATTTTAAACAAATTGTGGACAACACTCATTCTTCTGCATTTGTTATATTTTGTTAACTGCAAGCGAAACCGTATTTTCAAAATTACAAATATATATTAGAAAATAAAGCAGTGAGAATAATCTTAATTAAAAAAGAAAATATAAGACTAAATTTTATGCTGGCATTGTTAAATATCAAAAATTTCATAACCTACTTGGTTTTCATTTTCATATTCAAGTTAAAAAAGAATCTTCTACCAAATAAAAAAAATTATTGAATTGAACAATCAGTACCATAGTTATTCTTCTAGAGGAAGTATAGACTTTCATTTAAAAAATTGTAGTGGCAATATGATAAAAAAATCAGAATTTCAAAAAGGATTTTACGAACTTAATAAATCAAGTATACTAAGTGGCATATAAATCCGAACACCCAGTTTAAATGGTTTTATTTTAATAAAATTTTGTATAAGTACTTAATGAAGCATAATGAGTAGATGATAAAAATTTCAAAATGATTGCACTGCTTTAAAGCCCTTTGACCTTTAATAATGTGTGGATGCACCCTGATGTGCTACGCATTCTCCAACGGGCCTAGGCATGCTTCTGATCAGGTGGTCAATGTCCTCCTGTGGTATCTCATTCCAGGCAACCACCAACTCCTCTCGAAGTGCTTCTAGAGTCTGAGGAGGACGTTGCAAATTGAGCAATCTCCTACCCATCATATCCCACACGTGCTCAATTGGGGATAAGTCGGGAGACCTTGGTGGCCATGGTAACAATGTGACATCATTATGTTGAAAGAAGTCTATTGTGACTCTTGCAACATGTGATCGGGCATTCTCTCGTTGGAAAGTTGGGTCTGCCAGGGTGTCAAGATAGGGTAAAAGATGGGGTTCTAGAACTTCGTGGATATAACGCTGCGCGTTCATGTTACCTCTGATGAAGATTAAAGGTGACCTGGAACCATAAGCTATAGCACCCCAAACCATAACTCCAACAGTGTGATGAACATGTCTTTCAACAAAAAACTGTGGATTCCTCCTTTCACCACGTCGCCTTCTAACCATGGCACGACCATCGGGCATGCCTAAACAAAATCGAGACTCGTCACTAAAGACAATACTGTTCCATTCCTGATCCCAGAGTGACCGTTGTCTGCACCACTCAAGGCGATTACGTCGGTGTTCTCGAGTTAAAGGGAGGACCCAGTGTGGCCGGTATGAAAACAAGCCAAAACTTCTCATTCGTCGGTAAACACTTCGCATGCCAATAGGTCTTCCGTGTTCTGAAAACCATTCATTTGCAATGGACCTGGTAGTGGAGAAACGGTCCCTTAAGGCCAATAATCTTAGGCAGCGATCTTCACGGTCTGCTGTTCTACGGCGGCGTCCAGTGCCCCTTGCTCTTTGCGTACGGCCTCCTCGAAGCCATGCCTGACAACACCTAACCACAGTGTCTACACTTCTTTGCACTCTAACTGCAATTGCCCGAAAAGAAAGTCCAGCTTCCCGAAGTCCCACTATACGGCCCCTATCAAACTCACTAAGTTGACGAAATCGTACAGGTCTCCATACTCTAGGCATCGTAACCGATCGTAAAGGATGTCAAGAACCAAAATCCGCCAACGTTGATTGTTTACTGCGGCTGAAATATTCATTTTTAGACCGTTAGTGAATTAAAAAAAAGCAGTATAAAAACCGGAATGTCCAACTGATAAGGCTGAAAATGTTTTCACTTGTTATTGTTGTTATACAACGCGTTGCCTACCGAGTTCACTCACTACTCTATAAAGAATTTTAAAAAAAGATTGAAGAATTTTATCTCTGATTCCATTGCCCAGTAAGTAGACCATGGCCATGAATAAGGACTCGTTACAAGTTTTTTTTTTAACTCTTGTTTTCATTGGGATTAAAAAATAAACATAAATATTTGTGGGGTTAAGTTGAAAAACGCTTTTTAGCGACACTTCGCCTTTTTATACTTTGTATAAATACAGCCGGATTATTATTATTATTATTTACAGTAAGATAAATACATTCACCAACTTTTATTAAAATAAAACCATTTAAACTGGGTGTTCGGATTTATATGTCACTTAGTATAAATCAAGTAATAATATCAATATATGTGCCAGTTTGAAAATCTTCAAAGGGAAATTGAAAAAATATTACATGGGAAACCGGAATTCTTCGTAGTGAAATTTTATATAAAAATATATAGACATAAAATATTATGTGTAACATTGATATTGTAGCATTAGTTAGATCTACAACAAATGAAACAAAAAAAATCGATAAAACTCGGCTTGACAGCACGGGTATTACGTGTCTTAAAAAGTGATATTATATCGATTTTTTTTAACATTATATTGGTTTTTTGTGATATTATGTAGGTTTTTCTACAAGATGTTAACTTAGCACTAGCTGATGGACTCGTTGTGAACTCGTTTTGTAGTTGTACGTGTTGCCTAAATGTCATGAGGCTTCAGTTATCAATGCTTGGCTCTGATTTGATCTGCTTCAGAGATGGCCTTATTGGAGGTAAAGGCAATGCATAGATGCAAAGAGGGGATTTGAGATTCAAAGCTGGAAATTAGTTGCGCATCCATTTTTTCTTATCCATTATGGAAATTGCATATGCAAATTTGCTGAATTTCAAAAATGAGAGAGATACGAAAATAACATCCCTGGTTGGTGAAGTAACAGGTGATATGCTACAGACAGGATAAGAAATAATTACATATATATTCACTGTACTCTGTCGATTTACAAGTCGTATACATGCTAACAGTTAGTACACACAACGTAAAAAATCGTAATTTATAACTTTGAACATAACCTGTATTCAGAAAAAACAACATATAAATAACCGATCGGGCACAGCTGATAGATATACTTCATTGGTAGCAAATTAAGTAATTATTTTCTCACACAGCAAATATCACTGATGCAGACTAATACACACAATCATCCAGATGCGATCATGCTATTCAACCAACTTCATTCCCAGAGATGAAAACTATAGACTACTCGGCATCACAAAACATATGCAACCAACAATGCGTGTAGATGAGCTATTCCTCAATAGATGGCCGCTCACAACGATCCTAGTGAGCAGACGTGGGATGACTGTTTGCACCCTAAACACTAGCTAGTCTGCAAGATGACATTTTATAGGTTTTTTTGACGTTTTATGGGATTTTTACATATTACCCGTACTGGACAAGACTAACATTTGCCTTTGCTCATCTTACCCGGTACTAAGTCGTAATCCACATGTGCTACACCAAGGACATCTTGAGGACCAAACACGATTACTAACGATTCTTTATCATCATCTTTGACAGTGACTTTTTTCTTTTTCGATTCCTTTTTCGCTGGTTTTTCTTTATTTTTATCGCCTTTCTTCTCTTTCTTTTTTCCAGCGACAGTTTGAGGGCGGAGGGTAAAAGACAGCAAGAAGCTGACTTTGAAGGTTATCATTGCGTTGAAAATTACGTAGTGGATGTCAATTTGACATAGTGCGTGTACGTCACCAGTTACTGGGTGATTTACAATAGAGAATTGATGCAAAAACAGTGCACTAAATGTACCGGGTGACCAAATACCAAAGGACGTTAAAAAATGTCATTCCAAACCGCTAGGGGGCGTAATTTCGATTTCAAAAATACAAACGCCATTATTTTGCGGAACCGATGTACTGATTTGGTAACTCTGTAATGTTGATTGCTCGATTTTCGAATTCATTTCTCGAGGTCATTTTTTCATATTTAATTTCATTTAGGATGGGGATAGGGTTCAATTTCACTTTGTGGCCACTAGATAGCGTTTCATGGATGTGTCACTGTTTTTTTGAATCTCTTCGATTCCAAAATATACTAAGTGACATATAAATCCGAACACCCAGTTTAAATGGTTTTATTTTAATAAAATTTTGTATAAGTACTTAATGAAGCAGAATAAGTAAATGATAAAAATTTCAAAATGATTGCACTGCTTTAAAGCCCTTTGACCTTTAATAATGTGTGGATGCACCCTGATGTGCTACGCATTCTCCAACGCGCCTAGGCATGCTTCTGATCAGGTGGTCAATGTCCTCCTGTGGTATCTCATTCCAGGCAACCACCAACTCCTCTCGAAGTGCTTCTAGAGTCTGAGGAGGACGTTGCAAATTGAGCAATCTCCTACCCATCATATCCCACACGTGCTCAATTGGGGATAAGTCGGGAGATCTTGGTGGCCATTGTAACAATGTGACATCATTATGTTCAAAGAAGTCTATTGTGACTCTTGCAACATGTGGTCGGGCATTATCTTGTTGGAAAGTTGGATCTGCCAGGGTGTCAAGATAGGGTAAAAGATGGGGTTCTAGAACTTCGTGGATATAACGCTGCGCGTTCATGTTACCTCTGATGAAGATTAAAGGTGACCTGGAACCATAAACCATAAGCTATAGCACCCCAAACCATAACTCCAACAGTATGATGAACATGTCTTTCAACAAAAAACTGTGGATTCCTCCTTTCACCACGTCGCCTTCTAACCCTGGCACGACCATCGTGCATGCCTAAACAAAATCGAGACTCGTCACTAAAGACAATACTGTTCCATTCCTGATCCCAGAGTGACCGTTGTCTGCACCACTCAAGGCGATTACGTCGGTGTTCCCAGTGTGGCCGGTATGAAAACAAGCCAAAACTTCTCATTCGTCGGTAAACACTTCGCATGCCAATAGGTCTTCCGTGTTCTGCAAACCATTCATTTGCAATGGACCTGGTAGTGGAGAAACGGTCCCTTAAGGCCAATAATCTTAGGCGGCGATCTTCACGGTCTGTTGTTCTACGGCGGCGTCCAGTGCCCCTTGCTCTTTGCGTACGGCCTTTTCGAAGCCATGCCTGACAACACCTACCCACAGTGTCTACACTTCTTTGCACTCTAACTGCAATTGCACGAAAAGAAAGCCCAGCTTGCCGAAGTCCCACTATACGGCGCCTATCAAACTCACTAAGTTGACGAAATCGTACAGGTCTCCGTACTCTAGGCATCGTAACCGATCGTAAAGGATGTCAAGAACCAAAATCCGCCAACGTGCAAAAAGCAGTATAAAAACAGAATGTCCAACTGATAAGGCTGAAAATTTTTTCACTTGTTATTTACAGTAAGATAAATACTATACATTCACCAACTTTTATTAAAATAAAACCATTTAAACTGGGTGTTCGGATTTATATGTCACTTAGTATATTTTACCTGGAATTTCATTTTTACGGTTTTTATAACCGGCAGGGGTCGTAACTTAACTACTATTTATTTAAATGCATACATGAGCAGCGAAAAGGCAGTCTAAATGTCGAACTATAATAAGACCAGGTCGCATTTTCTGTAATGAGAAAAA